AGTCCACGGGCCCAAATCTGATTAAAATGTAATTGGGAAATGCTGTTGAAAAAGTCTCTACCTGATGCCTTCACTTCCTTACTACCTTCTGTTTCCTCCTCTGGTTTTCATCCATACCACTATACTCAATGTGCTCTCTCAAAGATCATGGGATTATAGATTTTGAACTGGAAGGAACCTGATAGCAAATTTATTATAATCCTCTCATGCTACAGATGAGGAAACATTAGGCCCAGAACTAGGATTTAAATTTTAGTCCCACAATTCCAAGTTCAGCCCTCAAAGTTCAGTGATCTTTCCACTAATACTAAAAAACCAATAATTTCTTTTCCTCATTTTTCATACTCTTTGAGCTCTATCACACTGGACATGGCTAAAGTCACAGCTAAAGAGAGGCAACATGGTGGTGCTAAAGAGTGCTGCTCTTGGAATTAGGAGACCTAAGTTCAAATTGTGGTGCTGACACATGGGCTGTGTGACTTTGGACAAATTCTTTAGGCTTTTGTTCCTTCAACCATAAAATGAGAATATAATAGGTATACTGTCTACCTCACAAAGTTGGGTATGTCAAGTGCTTTGCAAACCTCGAAGTGCTACATAAATTTAAGTTATTATTGTGTGAGCTAGTTGGTGAAACAATCAGATTTAAATGTTCACTCTTCTGACTCTCAGTTCAGTGAGTTCTCCATCATAGCAAACTATCCTATTGAACTCCATAGTTAGCCTAGTATAGTGTTCCTCCAGAGGAAGGCACTCTAGCTATTTATTAAATGTATTAATTAAATCCATCGAATAATTATCATCTACCTGCTATGTGCTAGGCACTAGAATCAGCAAGGCTAAAATGAAATTGAGCCTGCCCTCAAGGAGCTTGCATTACGCTGGGAGAATACAACGTGAACATGGATAAAGAGTATCCATATATTGAATAATTTGGAGAGGGGAAAGAGCTAAACTGGGAAGATATTTATATACATCTCTCCATCAGATATAGTCTTCTGTCAGTTGGCTTCTCTGTCAGGTTAAAGACCGTCTTGTTTCTATCTTCATGATTTAGGCCCTGTCATGCCTCTTAATAAAAGAATTTGTTCTGTGAAGTTTGGATTCAGTCAAAGGGCTACACTTGAGGACCTAGATGGCCACATGTGGCCTTGAAGCTCCAGGTTCCTCACCTCTGATTTCAGGGTTTTCTCATGGAATAATTTTATTTGAATAGCTTTAATAGTAATCTGTAATGGTTACTTGATTTGGTTTGTGATTCAGATATATGACTGATTATTATTCTTCCCTGTTAGCATTTATAGGTGTAGATGACAAAGCACATTCATAAAAATATGTTTTCTTAAGAGTATTTACTATCAAATCTTAAGTTACTGGCATTAAAAATAGATTCACATGTCATAGACCCTATCTTTTCTTTTAACTTCGTGGGGATGCTGGCTTAGAGAACAAGAAATTCCTTCCATTCCATTCTATGTTTTACAGAGCATCTCAGAAGTATGACTCAGTTCTGTGAATAATGTAGCATCACAGTGGACTTGGAGCCAGAAGACCTGGGCTAAAAGCTATAACTAGGGATTCTGTACCATAGGACTAATTCAGGTATAGAGTGGAGGTTGTGGTCCAGGTCTGTGTGTCAAACTCACATGGAAATGAAGGCCACTAAACCATACATAAGGATCCCTGTGAACAAAAGGGAAAAACCACACGCCAATATTATCTCTGTTTTAATGAATTTTAAAATTCATTTCATTAAGTATTTACCAGTTACCTTTTAATCTGGTTTGGGAGGTGCTGTTGGGCCATACGCAGCCTGGGTGTTTGACACCTCTTTTCCAGGGTGCTGCTTCCTAGGCCAGGCGTTGTCTCAGAACTACATGGTGTCTGTGCTACCTTTCTCCTTGGACTGAACATGGCTTGGAGAAGGGTAACCCCACCTCTTTTCCTGGAGGTCCAGTGGCCCTGAAGTGCTCCCTCTCCTTGTGTGGAAATGTGGAGCCTCTACTCCTCTCCCTTTCCCTGGGTAAAAGATTATTCTAGGGAGGAAGCTTCCCTCTCTTAGATGTTGATTTTGTTCTTCAGTCATTAGCAGTCGTGTCTGATTCTTCATGACCCCATTTGGGGTTTTCTTGGCAAAGATACTGGAGAGATTTGCCATTTCCTTCTCCAGCTCATTTTACAATTGAGGAAACTGAGGTAAATAGGGTTAGGTGACTTGTCCAGGATCACGTAGCTAGTAAGTGTCTGAGGCTGAATTTGAACTCTTGGCAATAAGCCTTCCTGACTCCAGGTCTGGCGCTCTTTCCATGGCGCCACACAGTATCCTGGGACAAAATCTCAGTTGTCCTTCTCAAACTACAAGTTTGCTTTGGATTGACTTGGCTGTGGCACTAATTGGCTGGGTTACTTTGCGCAACTTTTCACATCTATAAAATGAAGAGCTTGGACTAGATGACACTTGAAGTCTCTCCCAACTCTAAATATACCATTGTATGGTTCTAAGAACCTTAAACTCTGAGCTTTGATGTCTTCCTCAGGTAGAATGGAGACAGTGATGCCTACCCTGCACAAAATTTGTATTAGGGTCAAATGAGAAAATATATGTAGAAGCACTTGGAAAATCAAAAAGTGCTATACAAATGTGGGATTTTTCATCTTACTGTTTCTTTCATAATGATTAGTTATTAATGTTAATTTGTACTTGGAAATCACTTAAAACTTGTGCAGTTTCACTCGGACCCTGGTGAAAATTCTCAAGGTTTAGTGTGGCATAATATATAGAACACTGGACTGAGTCAGAAGGTGCTGGGTTCAAATCTTCAGACACCTACTAATTGTGTGACCTTTGGGCAGTCATTCAAACCATTCTCTGCCTCAGGTTTCTCATCTGTAAAATGGGGAGGGAAGAGCACTTTGGACTCAATTACCTCAAACGTCCCTTCCATTTCTCCATCTATGATCCTGTGATCTTTCAACATCTCTTCACATAGTGATTTAATACTGTTTCCTACTGTGAAAAGGTCAGATATGCTTCAGGAATAATAATGTAACAGAAAGTTAGTCTCTCTTCAAGACTCTGTGGATTCTAATGAAAATGTCACATGCTGAAATCAGATGCTGTGTCTCTATGTACACAACCTAGGACAAACAAAGCAACCTGGTAGTTTAATTCAGTTAAACAACTTGTTATTGACCGGAGACAGCCTAGTTAGCAATTAACCCACTTGGCTGAATTAAACATTTTATTTGAAGGCTTGTTGATATGTGTGTAAATGGCACAAACAGGAATAATACCCAGCAAGAGGAAAGGAAAACTAGCATTTTTATGCATTCGTAAGTGTCTCATTTTATAAACATTTGAAACTAAAGTAATATCTTATGCAATACAGAGCCAACATAACATAGATTTTTGAGCTAGAATTGACCTGAGAGATCACCTAGTCTAATCCTCTTATTTTGCCTTAAGCATGGTATAATGGATAGCGTGCCATTCTCAGTCTAGAAGACATGGGTTCATATGCCACCACTGATACTAACTGTATGACCATGCTTAACCTCTATAAGACTCAGGCAACTCTCTGAGATTTATTATGTTTTATATGGGTTGCAATCTGTCTCCATGTGAAGAGTTTCCATTCTAATAGAAGCCTTGCTTATAAATGAAACTAGATAAAATATTGACAGTGGGATGGAGATTTTTTTTAGACAATATACCTTGCATCCTGCTAGAATTAAATGATCCTTTATATTATCTCCTGATGTGTTCATGCTATTCCCAGCACCAAATTCCCTCTAAGAATCTCCTTTTTTGATTCGACCATCATATCTATGGTCTCATATCTTACTCATTGACTGAGAAGTGACAGGTACTCCCTAGGATCATTGATCACAGAATACCTGTCCCAGCTATTAGTTCCAATCTCTTCCTTGTTCTGAGGGTCATCACTGATATAGAGGTGAAACGGACCTCAAAGACCATCTAGCCCAATCCCTTTGTTATAAGCAGATCTGACTCAAGCCAGCATGGTGTTTTATGTTTGAAACTATGATGAAATGAGACACTCTTAGACCATCTAATAATTAACAGAAAGAGGATTATTTAGGCATACCAGGAAATGGATAGGCAATAAAGACACAACATTGCTCAATAGGGTGCATATTCCCTACTTCTGTGATAGTTGTGTTTGGTCAGAAGTCTTAGGGAAGAGCAATTCCTTCCTCCTTATGGGCTAGCTTTGGTCAGGCAAACAAGAAACCATATGACAGTCTTGAACTTTGCTCAAGTATAGTTAAATACCTTTAAAGGAAAAAAAAAATGAAGTAACTAACCTAGCCTACCAGGTAAATATTGCTCTTACATACCCTTCATTTTCTAGTTTTATAGATGAGGAAAGTGATTTATTTAAATGACCTTACCCAAGATTTCACTGTTGGAACGCGTGATACGTAGGAATTGAAACAAGGTCTTCTGAGTCCAGAGTAAGGACTCTTTTTCTGGGCCTATGAGTACTGCACATGGTTCATATTCTTTCCCAAATGATCCCCTTCCAAAGGGAATGATTCTCTAAATCCAAATTTGCAATAATGAAAAAATACTTATTATATATTAAGATAACATTTCTTCCCACCTATAGGATCAAAGCCTCACACAACACCATGGAACAGAGTCTAAGACTAAAGTTTAGCAGTGAGTACTCTTAATTATAATACTCTGGGGGGCAGCTAGGTGGCACAGTGGATAGAGCACCGGCCCTGAAGTCAGGAGGACCTGAGTTCAAATCCGGACTCAGACCAAAACACTTGACACTTACTAGCTGTGTGACCCTGGGCAAGTCACTTAACCCCAATTGCCTAAAGAAAGAAAAAAAAAATTATAATACTCTGATTTGTTCATAAGAATGTAGTTAGATTGACTGTATAGGCTTAAAAATGCAAATATATTAAATAGAGATTGTCTTTCTGTGATTAACATAAGAATTTACATTTCCCCCCCTTTCCAGCAACCGTCAACTGATCTAGAATTTGATCGGATAGTGATTTACACAACTTGCCTTCGTGTGGTAAGGACGACTTTTGAAAGGTGTGAACTTGTTAGGAAAATCTTCCAGAATCATCGAGTCAAATTTGAAGAGAAAAATATTGCTCTGAATGGTGAATATGGAAAAGAGCTTGATGAGAGATGCAGGAGGGTGTCCGAAGCACCTTCTCTGCCTGTTGTGTTTATTGATGGCCATTACCTTGGGGTAAGTACTCTATGAGGGAAATCAGCTCTTTTATTTCATTTTTCATTTATTTTTTGTTTTTTTTTTTTGCTGGCAATGGGGTTAAGTGACTTGCCCAGGGTCACACTGCCAGTAAGTGTCAAGTGTCTGAGGTCAGATTTGAACTCAGTTCCATCTAACTCCAGGGTCAGTGCTCTATCCACTGCACCACCTAGTTGCCCCAAAATGGGGCTCCTTTAAAACCCAATACAAGATGTGGAGAATTCTATAAGCCCTTGGAAAGGTGAAAGGAAAACACAAACTAGAATTTTTTTTTCTTTTGGAACCTGAAGCAGAAGGAATGAAAGACTTATTTCTACTCCAAATCAATGAGTTGATAGACTATTCATCCCCTGAGAAGCTTGAGAATAAGATAAAGTCAGCATGAAATTGCCTTTTGAAATGTATTACTTATGGAAAAGAACAAGATTGGTGGCTGACATGACTCCATATTAGGAAATTTTCAGAACCATATTAGAATTAGGCTTTTTCAGTGCAGGCAAAAAGATGCATTATTTAAAAGATACATGTGATTTCGTTGTGGCCCTTCACCTGGTGCTCTGGTTCCTACCTGATGAACATAAGATGATCCTAAAATGGAATTATTATAAGATGGGTTTCAGGAGGTTAGGCTTTTTTTTTTTTTTAGGCAATTGGGGTTAAGTGACTTGCCCAGGGTCACACAGCTAGTAAGTGTCAAGTGTTTTGGTCTGAGTCCGGATTTGAACTCAGGTCCTCCTGACTTCAGGGCCGGTGCTCTATCCACTGTGCCACCTAGCTCTCCCCAGGAGGTTAGGCTTTTAAAACTGCTATTTTTCAAAAAATTTATTCTTGAATCTGACCATGTCTGCACTGGGAAACAAATAGATATAAGATTAAGGCAGGCACAATGAAATAATCATTCCTGGCATTAATATAGCATATTTACTTCCCATCACTATGAAAAGTACTATATAATTAAATATTATTTATTAAAATGTTATTGTCTGAAATACATAACATTAGAAAAACATCCTTAAGATTCTCCTCAGGAGAAATAGTCATGACACCTTGTTTGTAACAGCAAGGAATTAAAAACAATTCGAATGTCCAGAAATTGGAGATCAATTAAAAAAATGATGTTATATCATTTTGATAGGGTATCATTGGGCCATAAAATGACAAGTATGAAGAATATAATATTTTTGATATTTAAATAGTATTCTGATCATTATGAGATGATGAGATCAAAAATATGAATGACAACTAATTCATTTCCTTTCACATGTGCTACTCCTGTCCATGTCACAGAGGGTTCACCTAATATGGAAAGAGTTTTCCTCTAATTCTCTTGACATTGTATGCATATCAGCAGAGCAAATAATCTGTCCACTGGTATCCCTAAAGCTTATAGCATGATTGATCCATAATAAGACATAGAAAAATGAATTTTATGTGATTCAGAATGAAGAACAATCAACTCACAAACATCTATTAAGCACTTATTAGTTGCTAAGTATTGTGTTAAACCTGGAAATACAAATACAAGCAGAAAAAAACAATTTCAACCCTCAAGGAGCTTATAATTCTGGTGGGGGAAGACTATACCTAAAAAGAAGTTGAAAAAAAGAGGTGGGAATTGCAGCCAGGAGAGGAATAAAGACATGTCTGGCTTAGGCACCCTTCTTAAATGTGGGCTTGGTATTCCAGAAGTCTTAGTGCAGCTTAGAACTGTGATTTTTGGGTTGCCCTATATCTATATAGTAAAATGACAAAAGTATGCCAAGTACAAAAATGGAGAAGAACCAGAAAAGGACATAAAGCCAATAAAACTATATTATCATTTTGATAAAGTTTAAATATATATATTTCTTTTGGCAATCTATAAACTGTTGGTTGTTTTATGTCTTATTAGCTTATTTATTTTATAGACGTCTTTGTTGTATATTAAAATTATCTAAAAGAAAAATGGACAGTGAAAAGAAAACCTTGGGGTAAGGAGATTATAAAGTAGGAATGAAGAAAGAGATAATTAATTACGTTTACAAAAGTTGTCAACTAATAGATGGATATTTGATTTTCAGATTTGTTTAGCAACTGGCTCTTTTGACTTTTCATGGATATGCCTCAAATTTAAAATGCTCAAGAATGTACTGAGTTACAGAATGATGCTCTCTTATCTTATCTTATGTTTCTTCTGAAAATTGAAGTTGGAAAAATGGAAAAATTGAAACAACATTTGTCAGCCAAGAAAAGATATAGTCTTCCTAGGGAGGGCCAACCCCAGGGATGAAGTAGACACACTTTGTCCCGAGGTGCCCCCCGACTCTTCTCCCTGCACTCTTTTATCTTCTCACGTGCTATTGCTGTATCTTCAGGTTCTCTCTCTTCTTTCTTATCAATATCTGCTTACAGGAAAGTATCTACATTTACACTAATAGGTAAATGATTGATAGGGTTTAAAGTCTAATCTTTTTCAGGTTGTTTGCATTTTAACAAGGAAGATCACTCTAAGAAAGTCTTAAATTGCAAAATATCAGGGAGAATGTGGCAGTCCTAATTTTTTGGGGGGTGGGGAAAGGCAATGGGATGTTTTCAATATACCGGAAAATATATCACATAGTCTGACAATACCCATAGCATTTCAGGCCAAAGCTTCCTCTTGACTTTTTCATTTCCCTGGCTTCCTGCTCATTGTAAGAATCTTTTTTTCTTCTTTCATGAACCTTTCATACTTTAGAACTAAATCAGCAGGGTACAATTTCATTACTGGCTTTTGCATTTCAATTTGAGGGATGACAGGAGAATGTTATGGACCCATGCAGCAAAAGGCAGGTTGATGTCTTTATTGCCCTTTGTCTGTGATCATTCTCTTTGCACATATTATTAAGTTCAGGCAGAAGAAAGTATTCACAATTCCCTTTTGCTTCTGCCAATTAACCTGAATACCATCACTCCAGAACATCCAAAAGGATTTGGTTTGTTTCCCCCCCAAATCATATTGATCTCTATTACCTTCTTTTAAAAAATTACATTTTATTTTTTAATGCATAAGTATTTATTTGCTAAACCTCCCACCACTCACCCCCAATTTAAAAGAAAAAAGAAAAACAAAACCCTTGTAACAAAAATGTATAATGAAATAAAAAAATTCCCACATTGTCCATATTCAAAAATGTATGTCTCATTTTCTATCTTGAACTCATCACCTCTGTATCATCTCGAATCTATCCCCTCTGTATCATCTCGAATCTATCCCCTCTGTATCATCTTGAATCCATCACCTCTGTGTCATCTTGAATCCACACTATCTCTGGGGCAGCGTACTTGATCTCAGGACTTCTGCATCAGTCAGAATTCTTAATTCTTTCAAAGTTGATTGTCTTCATAGTGATGTTCTGATAGAAATTGTTCTACTTACAACATTCTGCATTATTCCATACAGTTCTTCACAGGTATTTCTGAACCAATTCTTTTCAACATTTTTAATGGTACAGTATTATTCCATTACCATCATATATCATAATTTCTTAATTTATTTCCCAATTATTGGGAGAATCCTTAGTTTCCATTTCTTTGACACTACAAAATGAGCTGCTACAATTATTTTGTATATCTGTATCCTTTTTTAAAATCTCTTTTGGGTATAGGTATAGTAGAAGTATTACTAGGTTGAAAGGTATACACAGTTTAGTAACTTTTTGATTATAGTTCCAAATTGCTTTCTAGACTCCACTAAATGTGTCGTAGGTGTACCTATTTCTGCACAGACCATCCAACATTTGTCATTTTCCTTTTTTTGGTCAACTTTGCCAATCTGATGGGTGAGAAGGAGAATGTCAGAGGTGCTTTAATTTGTGTTTATCTAATTATTAAAATTTTAGGAAAATGTTTTCCATATGATTATTAATAGCTTGGATTGAAGAACTGCCTGTTCGCACAGTGTTTGAACATTTATCAATTAGGGGATGGTTCCTATATTTTAAGAGAGGAACTGCCTCAATAAGATTATCAGGGTTATTTTTTCCCCAGCTACAGTTGTATCTTTATTTCATGTCTAATGTAAAAACCATGACTAAGGAACCGTTTCTTGAAAGATTCATATATCTGAAATGGAAGGATGCCCTCTACTGGGCTCTGACATGTAATGGAAAATAATTTTTAGGGAGGAAAAGAAATTGATATTGGTAGAGAAGCAACAATAGGGAACCTTTTAAATTTATACTGAATTTTCTAAAGTAAGAAAATGTACATACACGGAGTCTTCTTTACTAGATATACAGCCACCTTCTTTAGTAGTGATAAATGATGGATAACTCCTAGGATTTAATAGGCAGCATCACATGTTAAATAGGGCACTGTACCCAGAGTCAGGAAGATTGGATTTAAACATTTCCTCAGACACTTCATGACGAATGGCTCTGGAAAGATCACCTACCCACCCTCTCTTAGCCTCGGTTTCCTTATCTATAAAATGAGGAGGTTGAATGGCCTCTAAGATCTTTTCCAGCTCTAAATTTTTGATCCTCTTAGAGCTAGATGGAGAGAGGGAAAGAAGGAAGAAAGAGACCCAGACAGAAACATGGAGACTTCTAAGTTTACCTGTTATATTGCTTCTGTCTTTAGAATTCCTGGATAATTTTTCTTATCAAAGAAAATAGTTATAAAAATAGAAAGTTTCCTATTTAGCTAACAATGTACTTGAACTTCAATATAAAATAATGGATTAGGTTCTATACCCTGGGGATACAGAACCAAATGGTGCAAAGAAGAGGAGGAAGAGAGAAAAAAAAGAGAATTCTCTCCTTTTGCTTTCTGGGGCTCATGGTTAATGTAGCTAAAATTTTGAAATTAAGAAAGTTTATTTTTTCCATTCTCTTACTTCTCTTTCTGTTTCTCTATCATCAACCTATTATTCTCCCTAGAAATGTTTTATTTTAATGTTGTCCTTAGCCCTTTCCCCAGGCCAGATTTTCAATCTCCCAAATTATCTGCTTCTCTTC